TGAGCTCCCAAACAACCTACACACATATACATATAGGCCAGTCACATACAACCCATTCCGTAAACCATACACACATGCACACACACACACACAGCAGAACAGAATTCTACACAGACAGGCCCTACATACCCCTCTGCAAGGTTGGGCCGACGCAGAGACACACTCTCACTTGCCCTAACAGGCCAGCAAGCCAGCAAGTCTACCAGACACATACATGCCCCTGGGCCCGTGCTGAGGTTTTGTGGGTGCTCTGGGCTTTCCAGCCTGTCCTCTGCCCCCCAGAGATCCCAACACTTCCTCTCTCCAAACATCACCCCCCACTTCCCTCCCTACCTTCCTCCCCACTGTTTGTCACTTCCCCTAGGAGGCCTAGTTTGGCAGCCTTGACCCCTGGTGGGTTCTGGGCCTATTTTCTTATCTCATCCTCTGTAAAAGGGATAACCCTGGGATCTCAGTGATGATCAACAACAAACACAAGCTCCTAAGTGATGATTGGGACCCCAAAAAACCTCCCCAGCAGTGAGGGGGGTCAGAATCAGCTTGTGGGAAACTCCCCCCCATGTCCAGTGAGTCAGTCTGAGGGGAAAAGCTCCACTTCCTGCTTCCAAGAAAACCCAGCAGCTTCCTCTCCTGGAGAGGGGTGAGGGGTACTTCCTGCACTTTGAGCCCCCTAACCACATTAGTGGAGGAGGGAGGTGACTGGCAGGGCAGGGGTTCCTGGGGGAGGCCTCCATGATCCTCAGCTTCTTCCTGCCCAGCTGCCTGTCCACACCCAGGGGCAGGGACGCAGGAGGCTGGGTGTTGAGGCTTGCGGCTTCTCGCCCTGGCCTGCCCACTGGCTGACTCAGGGCAGCCCCAGGCCCAATTTCCTGGTGGGGGCTCTGTAGGTCAGTGGAGCCAGGGGGGCGGGGGTCACCAGGCTATTTATAAGAAGGAAGTCTCTCCCACCAAGGCCAAAAGCCCCAAAGAGACCCATGGGTGGGGGTGGGTGAACTTCCTCCTTATCCTGTTCCCCAGGCTCTGGGTCCCTGGGCGTGGGGGAAGCCTAGGCACAGACTCCCAGGCCAGACACTGGGGCCCAGGGCCTGGGCAGTACCCACTGCCAGTCTGGGTGCCCAGGCCAGGCGGGGGAAGGGGCTTGCCTCACGCCCTCCTCACCCGGCTGGTCTTGGCGCCAGTTGGGCGGCGTGAGGGGGTGGTGCCCAGGCCACAAGGGTGAGACTGGCAGGGGCCTGGAACCGGCTGTACCAGCTTGGCTGGGCCCCCGCCCTCCGTCCATGGCCCAAACCCCACCCCTGCCAAACTCCAGAGCAGGGTGCACTGAGCGACCCCACACTGCCACACTGCTCTGTGCACATCCACCATCACCCTGTGCCCAACACTCTCTCTTTCGCGTTAGGAAAGGCCCTGCAGAGGTTGGGCCACAGTTGGCACTCCACAAAAGCCCCCTTCCTCCCTGGATGTTGCGCTCCTCATCCCTGATCCTCTGCCTGCGCTTCTCTCTAGCTGTGATTATCCACAGGACAGTGGCTGACGCTCGGGGCTGGACAGCTTGGGTTCCGTCCATCACTTATTGCTGTGGGATGCTGGGCAAGTTCTTTAAGCTTCCTGTCTCAGTTAAAGGGGATACAAATAGCATCTATTTTGCTAGGTTGCTGGAGGCATTTAATGACTACTACATGTCAACCGGGAGCTCTGGTAGCATAGTGCCTAAGGCACTTGACTGCTAACCAGAAGGCTGATGGTTCAAACCCACCAGCCACCCCTTGGAAGGAAGGTTGGGCAATCTACTTCCCTAGTGATACCACCTCGGAAACCCAAGGAGGGATCACTATGAGTCGGGTCCAACTCCATGGCACATAACAACAACACATGTCAACCACTTACAAGAGTGCCTGGCCATGTAAGTAAGCACCATGTAAGTGTTAGCTATTAAAATAATTATCATTATTTTTCAGTCCATCTGCCTCTCTAAAGTGCCTCTGAGTCCGTCTATCTCCATGAAGCTAACCCTGCTTCCATTTGTTTCTCTCCCTGCCCTAGCCCCCTACCCCCATATAGCTACTCTGCTTGTTTCCTTGGTCTCTGGGACTTGCCCTCCATCTCTGAAAGGGCCTTGCCTCTCTGCAGCACTCCCTTGGCATGGCCCGTCCCAGCACTGGCTGGCCAGGGCTGACTCACTATAGCCTCCTGGCCTCAGGGACTTGCAGGTCGGTTTCCCAAGGTGCTACCCTCCGGGCCCCACTCTGCCCAGCCCCCCAACGCTGTCCGCTGCACCCTCACGGGGGCGGCCAGATGTCAGCTGCAGTTATTAGCATGGGCGGGAGACACAGGCCTGGCAGCGAGCCTGCCAGACTCAGCGGCCACTGGAATCTCCCTTGAGACGAACGGGGGAGGGGAGCAGTTCACATAAGAAGGGGGAGGGGGCACTTAGGGGTCACAGGGCCCCTTTAGAGACAGGGACACCCCTAGCTTCTGGGATCTTCCTCCTCTAGCCCATTGCTTTGCTGGACTTCCCCTCGTCTCCACACAGCTCAGTTTCTTTTTTGCTTCTTTCATTTTCTTTCTCTCCCCTACACTGGGTGAGTTCTATGCCGGCCACACACACAAAGGTCTGCCAGGCCCTAACCCTCAGCCTCAGCTTCTTTGTACCCCAAAGAGAGTTCCATCCTTCCAGAAGGCAGAGGCCTGGGAGGTACAGAGAGGGAGATTTTCCACTGAGTTCCCCAGTCTGGGCCTCTCACCTCTTGTTCTAGTGGCTCACACCCTAACTACTTGGAAGTCCCACCTTAAGTCTAACTAGAATTTTCACCATCTGAATCTATTCCCAGTTCTTCCCAGGGAAGATGTGCTGGGTTCCCTCAGATTCTCTCCTTGGATTTTCAGCTCACCTCTGACTGGGTGGCAGATGGGGAGCCCTCAGGGAGGGAGACATCTTGGGGAGGGAGGGGGCTCCCTCCAAGTATCTGGAGGGGAGATGGGACCCCTTGACTAAGTGCTGGAGAGAGGGGCGTCCCAGCCCCTAGCAGCAGTGTGTGTGTGTGTGTGTGTGTGTGTGTGTGATGCCTAGACCTGATGGCAGAGAGCAAGGGCGCCCTGCCCAAGGGAGGAGGCAGCCGTGCCAGCCCGCCCAGGCGCCTGGGGTGCCTCTAGGCATCGGCCCGCCCACTCCGCGCCCCGTCGGGCCGGGGGCGAAGTCCGACCCAAGCCTGCGGGCAGGCGGGGACCTGCCAGGCTGGGCCGGGCCGGGCCGGGCCGGGCTGGGCGGGGCCAGGACTGGCAGGACGCAGCCCCAGAGCGGCTGGGCGGGGCCGGGCCAGG